TATACTACTATATAATATACTATATACTTATAGTACTATATATATAGTATATATATATATATATATATATATATATATATATATATATACATATACTATATATATATATACATATGTATATATATATACATATGTATATATATATACATATTATGTATCTTATGTGTATCAAATATGTATGCCTATATATATATGTGTGTGTGTATGTATATATATATATATATGTAGATGTATATATGTATATTTATATAATGTATATATACATACATATATATATATTTATATATTCACACACGCATACATATAATTATACGAATGTATGTATAAATCCGTATTTTTTGGTGGAGACATACGTAGAAGAACGTGTTTGTGCCTAAAAATATTATATTGTCGAGATTAGCGCGCGTGTCCATCTATCTAGAATTGTCTCGAGGATACATATATAGTCCTTAAAATATTATGTTGTACTTTGGATGGGTCCGATGCCATCAAGAAATATGCATTTGTATAGGTGTTTGTACATCACTGTGAGTAATAAATGCCGGGTCAAGGAATGCAAAAGTTACTGAGATTGGTTGTGAAAATCTTCATTGGATTCATGTCTACATGAAGCTACATCCAGATGTTGCAGTATGCCTCGTAGCAATCAATACTCACCTCTATCGCTGCTGGTTGTTGGCCTGCGATAGAATCGGTGTCAATCAGCTGCTGGACTTTGTGGCACCGCTCGTGAAGAAAGGGCTGAAGAGTGTGATCCTGTTCGGTGTAGTGAATCAAAGCAAAAAAGACGCACTTGGCACCTGCGCGGACGATGCCACCAACCCCGTAGTATTGGCCCTGCCCATGCTCAGAAAGGCCTTCCCCGGTAGGTTGGGTGCAAACAAGTATCATCAGCTATTCTTCCAGGTGCACATGCTGGCCGTATATGCACCCCATGCGTTGATTGGAGCCGTTCCTGTCCGATGCGGGCGTCGTACTCGAAGCTCTCACGGGAGTCTTCCCTGTACATGCACAAACAACTCTTGGCTTATCTCCAATCCGATGTACCCAATCGCAATGTTTCTCAATACTGTCCTCGTATACTAAGCCCATGTTCCATGCATCTCTGCGTGCTCCACAGACCTCCTGCTAGTGGTTGATGTCTGCCTATGTCCGTACAGTGATACGGGTCACTGCGGTGTGTTCAAAGCGGATGGGGCGCTTGACAATGGGCCCAGCACCCAGCGCATCGCTGAAATTGCGATCAACTACGCCAAGGCCGGCGCACAGGTATGCAAGGGTTATCACAGGGGCACGGACAGATACACACGAGTCTACGTGTATATGCACAGGCACGTGGGAAATCACCCGCACCAGCTAGTATGGTAATATTGGTCGTGTGTTTATCTTGTACAAGTATGGGAAAGATACGCGGACTGCTGTTGTATGACACTCGCGCACAAGGCACGCCTTGTTGTGTAAGGAGTAGTATTGGATGCACGTGGTTGCACTCTGCTGTGATCGATGTGACACATTGATGGTGTGTGTTATGAAAGTCTTGCGATGATATGATGTGTATCACGGCCATTGTTAAACGGGATCTTTTCTCCATATGGGTGCAGGATGCAGTGGTAATATATAGTACAGGATTATGCAACTTAAACAGTTGTGCCGAGTTTTTTAGTATGTGCAATGACGTGATTTGTAAACAGACAGGTGCTGCTTTCAATTTGCGATTTAAAATGCGTGGCCTGTTGACGGCAACGCCAGGTAATGCACATATGTATATATATATATATATATATATATACAACACAATTATATATATAATATTATATTATAATATTAATATATTATTTATGTATATGTGGGTGTGTGAGTGTGTGTGCATATAAAAATTAACATCGAGGGTATCATGGTCCATTTCATACTAACTCAATGTGAAGTCTGCGGCGAAACATACAACAGAACTTTGTACCACGAACAACAGGTGATAATTTCACCTAGTCATAGGTTGATGCTCAAGTTCTCGACCCCTGAAAAGAACTAGATATCCGCATGCGATCATGCATGTATGTACAAACCGTCGTCTCACTAATCCCAGCAGCAAACATACACTGTCACAGTCACACGGTTGATATGCCAATAAGGACTAGAATGGAGTTCCCTCATTGATGCCTTGTCGCTGTGGTTTTGCAGGTAGTGGCTCCCTCAGATATGCTAGATAACCGCATCGACGCCATCCGGGGTGGTCTGAGGGATGCTAACCTGGACGGACAGGTGAGTGTGTGACGTATCTTCGCGGTATGTGCAGTCGTTCGCAAGGGTGGGATATACACCCATACAATCAATCCATGCGCTGACATCAATGTGTATCAGGGTACTTGGTCTTGTGTGCGTATGGATCGTGTGTACTTGTGGTGTGTGGGAGCGTTAAGTACTCAATAGGCCGGGACAGAATCACACTATGACGCGAGTGTGTCACCAGAAGGTATAACCTCTTCGGTACTGAAAGACACGGCTACGTTCAAAGCATATCCATACATGCCTGCACAACCCCCACATCAGCTAGTACACGCCCAGCCCCACGGCACCACCCATTCTCTGTGTCACACAGGGGAGGTTCACTGGGTACAATGCCAAGTTCTACTCACCTGTTCATTATGTACATATATGCATATACATATACATACACATGCGCGTATACGTACACATACACATACACGTACACATTTTTATATACATATACATATACATAATATATGCATATTCATATTCATACATACACATACAGGTGAGTATTATGAGTTACAGTGCCAAATTCGCGTCGGCCTTCTACGGCCCCTTCAGAGCAGCGGCTGGTTCCGCACCTTCGTTCGGCGACAGGCGCAACTACCAGCTACCCCCTGGCGCTCGGGGGTTGGCTATTCGTGCTGGTGATAGGGATGTGGTTGAGGGGGCGGATATGCTCATGGTCAAACCAGGAGGGCCGTATCTGGATATCATCAGAGAGCTTAAGGACAAGGTGGGGCGTGTGCTGGTTCTCTTGTACGTAGTCTGTAGTTCGGTACGCTTGGTAGTTATGGTGTGGTAGATTTTAGCTTTGTGCATGCAAGGGGTACTGGTTTTTGATATGTATTTTTATGTGCAAATCATGCGGGCTAAGTATACCTGCTAAAGGGGCAAGGTGCGGCGTGTACTGGTTCTCTTGTATGTAGTCGGCATTTCGGCCGGTGGATTTAAGTTCTGCGCAAGGGGTACTGGTTTTACATCTATATTTGACGTGCAAGTCATTCCGGTTGCTAGTGGCAACTGATTGTCCACTGGAGATGTAGCGTGCGATTTGCTTTCTTGTGTATACAAAGCAAGTGTAGTTGTGCGTGTCATGCATGTAGCAACTTCAGTTGACTGCGGCATGAGTATTTGAGAGGTTTTATGGTTTATTGCCGTACGTTCGTTTCCCAGTGCATTGTAATCACTTGTATAGGGTCAGCGCCTATTGGCTGCCGTACCCCACCCTGCTCTATACTATCAATTGTACTGTACCATAGTACCCTCAGCCACACGTGTGTGCGAGGGCAGGTAAGAAATATGCGGCTGTTCACCCGTGTGTGCTTCCTAACACATTAGCAGCTGTCTTGACTCCACAAATGATCCTTAGCAAGTGATAAAGATGTACCACACGCTAAGGCCAAGTTGGAGCCCCAGCAGCACCCGTAGCTACCCTTCTATGCTTTGTACAGTATTCTCTACTACCCACGCTATTCTCTACTACCTACGCCTACCCATGCTATTCTCTATTACCCACGCCCGTATACCAGTATTCAAGAGGCTTTGGTGTATCTGCCGTCACCATCCGTGCTTGTTGTGCACATTGGTGCGTCCTACCTATCCATCAGCTACCTCTGCAGCCTTCAGTTAAACAGGTACTTGCACAATGCGCCTGCTCATCCCCACAGCCCACTCAACCCCCCCCTTTACAACCACCCCCCTTACAACCCTCGACAGTACCCGCAACTACCCATGTGTGTGTACCAAGTGTCGGGCGAGTATGCACTCATGTGGCACGGAGCCGCCGCCGGTGCAATAGACCTGAAACGGGGAGTACTAGAGACCATGACGTCTTTCAGACGCGCAGGTACGCTTATTCATTCTTGGTGAATTCATGGTGTGGTCGCTGGTGTGAGTTGGATTGGATTCACAGATCAAGCTGTAAACGGTTATATGAGTATGAGCACGGCATCTCACAGTCAGTATACTGTAGCATGACAGAAACGTGCTGGATGTGTCAATCATGATGTAAGCGGTTATATGAGTATGAGCACGGCACCTTACAGTCAGTATACTGTTGCATGACAGAAACGTGCTGGATGTGTCAATCATGAACACTCGGACGGTATCATGTCACATAGTAAGCGACAATCGGTGCGAACCGCCAATCGCTTCTATGTTAGATATCTTTATGTTTCGCAATTGAGTTGCTTATGGAGAGTTCGGCACTACACAGTGGCGTCTGGGTGCTGCTTGAGTCTCAAAATCTTACGAAACATTCAAATTTTGTAATTCATGATAACATGTGTACTTCTGAACGGTTTCTTTGGCATGTAGACTTATTCAGCCCAGCAAGCCACGTAGCCTACCTCGAAAAGCTCGAGTACTCGGAGGGTTGATGCGTTTTGTATGAGTGCACACAGGATTGATGTGGCAACCTGATGCCTGCTTGTGGCAGTGTCGCATGAGTTGAGTTCCAGACGGCTGCTAGTGTAGTAGAGCTGGGCCAGCTGTATGCACATCTTTTCATCCAAATTTGTGCACATACCTGTAAAGCCACCTTTTCATTCAGATTTGTGCACATACCTGTATATCCACCTTGCACAAATCGTTAGATACCGGACGTATAGTGTAACACGAAAGTTTTGGTATAGTACTGCTAGTTGACGTGTGTATGCAAGGGCTATGGTGGGAACCACATCAAGCATATTCGAAGCGTCTCCTTTATATCCAAATGTTTTTAAAATTGCCCGTCATCTCTATCCCTGTACAGGTTGCGATTGTATAATCACATACTATACACCAATGCTTCTTGACTGGTTAGATGAGTAATGGAACAGCAGGACTGCACACATACCACAATCACAGCAAGAGTCGAAGACGATTTTATATTTCACAGTCGGGTTGGGGTCACTCACCTTCACCTCGGCCGGCGGGCGAGCAAGTTGCTCGGTCAAGCTATTTCTTGGCATTTTAACGGCAACAGAAATAATCAAAATGCACAATAGGAAACCACAAAGAAAACAAATGTACAGGGGAAAGAGACCTGACGAGTGTATTACAATCGATATTTTGAAAACCCATGTCATATTCATCTGTTCCGCAGTCGAATTCACAATGTCAATAGTGGTCTGGTACTCGTTCAAGTATGTGTTGCAATCGTTAAGACCGTGATCGACTTCTGCAGCTCTCATCACGGCTATCCTGAAAATACACCATAACTGTCTACTACTAATCTAAATCGATACATACGTCACAACCTGTTGATAGTACGAACAATATTTGGCGTGTTGCAATTTTGCGCCTTTTTTGGGGAGGCTATCAATTTTACAGAGAATTTGAACTGAAAATGCCAGAGATATGCAAATATCTATATTTCGTCTGTCTTTTTTTTTCATACTCGTTGCTGGTTACCCAGCAGCAACATTGTAGCCGCTTTGACGGTTTCAACTTGCAGTTTTATCTCTTGAATTTTAATAGATTTCCGGCAAGACGTGAAAGATTATCCACTGAAAAACGACTTGCTGTAGACAGCTGACAAACAATCCGAGTTCACTGGAGGGTGGAGCACTAACATTAGTGACTACTCTCATAGCAATACTGAAGTCCAATAATAACCGTCTAAATTTTGCAAATGACAGAACTATAACTATTATTTCATATTTGGTTGCTGTCGAATTTAAAAGAATTGCTATTAGCTGATAGCATGACAAAATAATTTTATTGCTAAAAATACTTCTGATCTATACGTATGTACTTGTATTATTTTCATGAAAAATATCCATGAAAACAACTATCTGTCTATATCAGGCAGCTTATCTTTATAATTGGTGTGAAATATTGAAAAATAAATATACTTAAAGTAAATCTTCAACGTGTAGCAGCAATCCATATTAGCGCTTCCATCGAGTAAACTACACGGCGTCGAAATATATCTAAAACCAACATGTTATCCTCAAAGCTGTGTTTAATAGCAGCGAGTGCTTTGGCTGGCTTCTCGGCTGCCCAGCAGTTACAATGGACACTAGTGAGTCCAGGAAATATTGCAGGCGCACCTGTAGGGCGTGCTAACTTTGGCATAGATTATGATTTAGCAAGGAATAGATTAGTGGTAAGTAAATACGTATTAGTCCTGACGAGTTTTCAGTACCTTACATATTGTGTAGTTGTGGCTCATATTTGGCAGGCTACTTTTTGCATATAATATCTATTGGGGAAAAAAGCATTTCCTCCTAAGTAAGCATACTTCCCAACATAATAACTTTTCTCTTACCATCAACAGAACCATTCAGATAAACCCCACTTCAGTATATTCAACACTCCGTGTAACCGACACATATCCTTCTTTATTGACCACTAGTGAATCCACATATGTGATTACTATACATCAAGTCCTTGATAATGTAAAAATCGTGCTCATTTTAGATGGCCTTCTTTGTCTGCTATCCGGATATCGTGTAAATCTGCTATTTGTACATCATGTAAGACATCAGGTATTGATACTCTTCTCCTTTTAAAAACCTAAATTGCTTCACAACAAAATACTCACATCTTTCCCATTGTTATGCCTTAGATGTTTGGGGGTGCAGCTGGTGGTGCAAGAGACGATACATGGGCGTACAACCTCGACACAAACACGTGGGAGCCGATAGTCACAGCTACGGCCCCTGAGCCCCGTCACAGTTTTATCAGCGGTATCGACAGGATAAACGACCGCATGCTTGTCACGGTTGGACAAGGTAACAGTGGTTTCTTTAACGATGTCTGGGCCTTGGATCTAACTGCACAAACCTGGCAAGAGGTCAACACAACAGGTACACCACCGTTCCGGAGATACGCACCGGCCGGCGGAATCTTCCGTGGTGGGTCGCAAATGGTAGTCTCGCACGGTTTCGAGGCTGAACGTTTCGATGACTCTTTCACATTTGATCTTGATACGTCTGAGTGGCGAGAAGTCACCCCTGCTGGCAAGGACTCGGCTATCCCTTCAGCTCGGTGTCTTGTGGGTAGTACTATGGTTGAGGACGGTCAGACAGTGATGTTTGGTGGGTGCAGCAGCGGAGGCTATGGTGGCACTGGTTGTCCTGGTTTTGACACGTGGCACATGCGCACAAACCCAGCAACACCTGACAAGACTGGACAGTGGACGCAGCTGAGCTCATCGCCTGCTACTCGCAACAGAGGGACGTTGGGGTACATGAGCAATATCAACAGTGTGGTTATGTGGGGTGGTCAGAGTGCGGCACCCTATGGCAGAGATCCAGATGGTTTGGTGAATGTACTGGACTTGGACTCTGGGTTGTGGACACGTGTGTTCCCCATTGTAGATACGGCCACTGGTCTCTCCCCTATCTCAACCAACGCCCTGGGCGTGATGACGTTTGTGGATAATTCGCCAGACTGCGTGTACTTGCTCACATCGGGTATGGATGTTTGGACTATGTGCGGCACCACCACTGCAGGTCTGACTACTATCGATGCAGATACCTTCTTCGACTGGAGGCTGGTGCACGGGGTTCTGATGATGTTGGCGTGGGGTATTCTGATCCCCGTGGGTGTCACGTGCGCTATGTACCGGGGGATGTTCGGCGGCTCTCAAGTCTGGTTCACGATTCATTACTTGTGCAACACATGTGCATGGTATGTAGCTGGATCTTTATTGGTTTTAATGTCCAAGTATATGTGCTTATTGGAATATGTTGATATGTGCCTACTACTACGTAACATTACTGATGCATAATAGTATGTGTGCAGTATCACTATTATGCGTATCAGTCTGTACCTGAATATATAGCGATCAACTTAATACTTAAAACTGATTTCCTTTACTCTTATCTTCATTCTCCAGGATTCTTACTATTGCCGGTTTTGGTATCGCGCTCGTGCTGAACTCCGCCGCCAAGTTCCTGTCCGTACATTCGTACATTGGCCTGGTGATCTTAGTACTGGTCGCCCTACAACCACTAAACGGTTGGTTGCGCCCCCACTTGGTCGAGGGTGTTAAGAAGTCCAAGCGACGCGTTGCCTGGGAAATTGTTCACAAATGGAATGGCCGCATTCTATTTCTTCTCGGAATTGTAAACCCGTTCTTAGGTTTGTATTACATCGGCAACCGAAGTGTGATTACGTTCTCTTTCATCCTCTACGCCACCTGGATCTGTCTATTGACTGTATTCTGGATTGCAATGCCGATTTATCTATGGAAATTCGGATCGCCTAAAGACAAGAACTCCAAATTTGGTACGAGTTCGATTCCTGCCCGATCGTCCAACACGCCCAGTATCAAATCAATAGCAGAACCCACTATCCCAATGCCTAGTGGTCTGTACTCACCGCAGTCAAGGAGACCGACGCTCGTTGATTCCGCGGACGTATGAAGAAGCCTGACTTCGAAGGAATATCAATAATAGTACTAAACAACAATACCAATTATAATAGTACTAAACAACAACAAAAACTAAGCGTAGAGCACGTTGTACGGTTCTGCCTAACCTAAACAATTGTAACCTCTGAAGGGAACGTACGAATGCACGGAATGCAACAGACCAGCATTTGTGTCCCATCTAATAAATATAAGAGATACAAACCATGGACCAGATCCTTGATGTATAATAAATATAAGAGATACAAACCATGGACCAGATCTTTGATGTATAATAAATATAAGAGATACAACCCATGGACCAGATCCTTGATGTATAATAAATATAAGAGATACAACTCATGGACCAGATCCCTGATATATAATAAATATAAGAGATGCAAACCATGGACCAGATCCTTACAGTATAATAAATATAGCGATACAACCCATGG